GATTCAGGATGTATAGGTTCTGTAGCTTCCCGATGGTAGAAGGTATGCTTCCAGAAAGAAAATTACTCTCCATCCCAAGTGAAGTGAGATTAACAAAATTGCTAATCTCAACAGGTATGGAGCCCAAAATTTGGTTTGACCCAAGCGATAAATGTTCTAGCCTCCTGGAAAGATTAACAGTTGATATAGGTAGGCTGCCATTTAGAAGATTCCCTTCCAAGGACAACTTTGTCAGCTGGGTGCAATTTGCTAGAGATGTAAGGAATGACCAGTTATGTGCTTCTAGCAAGTTCATTCCTAAATCCAACCGACGTAAGTTTGCCAAAGAACCAAGATATGGCACAGAGCCATGTAACAAGTTGTTTGAAAGATCAAGTGTTTGGAGATTTAACATGTTGGATAGTGAAGCAGGGATCAGGCCCTCCAACCTGTTGCTTCCCATGACAAGGATCTGGAGGTTTGGTAGTGAGAAACCAATGTGAGATGGCATCTGTCCAACAAGGGCATTGCTGCCCGCATTGAAGAATTCGAGTGATGTCATGTTGTAAAAAGACAACGGGACACTCCCTGATAAGCCGTTGAAACTTAGATCAAGCTCAAGCAGTTTTGCAGTGTGACTCAAAGTCTCTGGAATTAATCCCGATAACCTATTTCGGCCGAGCAATATAGAAGTGAGGGAAGAAACATTTCCTATTGAAGGAGGTATGCTCCTAGAGAGGAAGTTGTCTGTCAGACGAAGAAATTTGAGTGTTGTGACCTTATGGAAATGTGGGATGGGACCAGTGAAAAAATTCATCTGGAGATCAACGACGGTAAGCTTGGATGAATTACCAAACAAAGTAGAAGGGATCTCCCCAGAGAGGTTATTACGTGACAGTATAAGTGTGCTGAGTGAGGCGCTATTGGCCAGTGAGAGAGGGATGCCACCAGTAAGAGTGTTGTTTGCAAGATTGACGTAGGTAAGAAAACTGCTAGTGCCTAGTGAATCAGGGATGTTACCTTGAAAATTGCTGCCGGCAAGATTCAGTGTATGGAGGTTTGGAAGCTTACCCAGCTCTCCAGGGATGGTTCCTGACAGATGATTATCAGCAAGGTTCATCCGAGAAAGAAATGTCAGGTTGCCGACGCATCCAGATAACTGCCCACCAAGACGAGCGGCGGTGAGGTTAAGAGAGACCACCCGGGGTGGAAACTTGGTGCCGCAAGCGACCGCTTTCCAGCTGCAAAAGTCAAGCGAGCCATTGCTCCATGAGCGTAGGATGCCAAGGGGATCAGAGCTGATGCCGGACTTGAAGCAGAGGAGGGCATGGCGATCAATCTCGGACATGGTTGCTTGTGATGCAGCTAATGCCGATGTGTCGAAGGAGAAAAGGCTGAGCAAAATACAGAGTAGAGACAAGAGAGGTTGAAGGTTGGATGATCTTGGGTGAAGATGACTTTTGAAGGATTTGTGTACCAGACATGGACGTGAAGGCATGCTTGACTGGACACGGCAGGTCAATGTGAACGTGTGTGCAAGGGAAACAAAGACCTCTGAATGAGAACGTGTGTGGACTGCTGCAGACTGCGACCGGTGGAGCTGTGGTAGGTGCAGAGGACTGCCAACAGCACAAGCGGCAGGTTTTGACAGCAGCATCGAACTAGACGCTGGAGAGGTGAGATGAGAGGTTTTGACAGCAGCCAAATCTCGTCCATTTCAGCATGGCGGATTGGGAATCTGCTGTAGGACTTACCGGATGCTGCGAGATGCTGCTCACTCGTCTTTCGTCTTCCGCGCGCCCGGGGTGGCGGCGAAGCTCGCCGTAGGGAGCCGCCGCAGCAGCGAGGGCTGGCCCCGCTAACTGAACTGCGGATCGAATCCGACGAGCTGCCCGGAAAGAAGGAACCCCGGGGGAGGCGCGGCGACGGTGGGTAGGTGGCGGCCGGTGGTGGCGTCGTCAGCGCGGTGCGGCGACCCGCCCGGACTCGGGAGGCGGCGACCGCTCGTTGATTCGGCGAGGACTGGTGGAGGCGTTGGACGCCGGGAAGGAAGGCAACGGACGAACGGCCGGCGGTGAGTCCGCTGTCGGATGAGGAGGGGAGCACGAGCGTCAAGATCAGACGGCTGAGGTCTCACCGTAAGGCCAGCTCCAACGCGCGTCGTTCGATTTGGGTTCCAAGCCCACAGAAAAACTGAACCAAATCCGCGTTCGTTTGCGTCGCCGCTTTGAAATCGGCCTCAGTGTCTCGCGCCGCAACTAAAACTAAGAGCATCTCCGGCTCAACATATGTGGTGAACAGTAGAATCAAATAAAATAGCAAAAAGAAAATTGATTTTTTTGGCATCTAAAGATGCTCTAGCGTGTGATGTCGTTGGCAACATTCGTGGTGTTTCGACATTCCATGACGTCGTGACAAAAAAAATATTGACCGTGAAAAAAACTTTGAAAATGAACACTATTTAGACCTGATTTGGTTTTTTTTGCAGGTCCTTAAATGTCCAAACCTCATAAAATTTTGCACAACTGAG